ACAAAGACCCTTGTACATTTTTGCTAAAGGTAAGAATTCAGAATGAACTGACATTCAGCAGCAACCTGGAACATTGTGCACTACCTGCTCCTCAGCTTCAGCTTCAACTTTTGTAAGATCTAACAGTTAAATGGTTAAATGGCTACCTATTTCAATGTGCTTTCTGGCAGCCAGAATTTGTGTGCAACCAATGACCATGTGACTATATAAGTTATGATCATACCTAATTAGTATAACATTCTGATTATTAATAACTGGGCATTTCCTCTCAAATAAAGATAAGCATTCTATATGTAACTTGGAGTAAAACTCCCTATGTTTTATATGTTGAATGCTCTCCATCAGTTCAAGGAATAAATACGCCTTCAGAATGCAAGTGTTTCTACTTTTTTAAAAAAATTATTATTATTTTTTGAGACTGAGTCTTGCTCTGTCACCCAGGCTGGAGTACAGTGGCACGATCTCAGCTCACTGCAACCTCTGCCTCCTGGGTTCAAACAATTTTCCTGCCTCAGCCTCCCGAGTAGCTGGGATTACAGGCACGTGCCACCATGCCTGGCTCATTTTTGTATTTTTAGTAGAGACAGGGTTTCACCACATTGGCCAGGCTGGTCTCAATCTCCTGACCTCAGGTGATCCGCCTGCCTTGGCCTCCCAAATTGCTGGGATAACAGGAGTGAGCCACCACACCCGGCCTTAATTATTATTTTTATTGAGACTGGCTCTTGCTCTGTCACCTAGGCTGGAGTGCACTGGTACAATCATGGCTCACTATAGCCTCAAACTACACCTCCCTACCCTCCCCTTGGGCTCAAGTGATCCTGCCACCTCAGCTTCTCAAGTCGCTGAGACTATAGGCGTATACAACCACATCTGATTAATTTTTTCATTTTTGTATTTTTTTTGTAGAGATGGGGTTTAGACATATTGTCCAGGCTGATCTCAATCTCCTAGGGTCAAATGATCCCTCCGGCTTGGCCTTTCAAAGTGTTGGGATTACACGTGTGAACCATTGTGTCTGGCCACCAGTACTTCTTACATAATACCTCTTACACAGTACTTCTTGCTGTAGAGAATCTCTTTCTACTCAGGGGAAGATGCTAAAACTAGTGTTCATGCAATTAAAGATGACATGAAAATAAAAATTCAGAAGCAATACTGTCCTCTTGAGAGCCAATTACATCATTCCAGTACCACATTTCTAGAACTAAAATATGAGTCATGTGGGCTGCTATTACAAAATGCCTCTGAGTGGCTTATAAAGTTTATAAACAAGAACTGTGAATGATAAATTTGTTCTTATAAAAAAACTTCCTTCACAGAGTTCTGGAGGGTGGAAAGCCAATCAATGTGTTGGCATATTTGGTGTTTGCTTTCTGGTTCATAAATAGTGGCTTCTTGCTTTGTCTTCACATGGTGGTTGGGGCAAGGCAGCTCCCTGTGGCCCCTTTTACAAGGCTCCACTCTCATGACCTAATCACCTCCCAGAGGCCCCACATCCTGTCACACTGATGATCAGATTTCAACATATGAATTTGTGGCCAGGGAGACACGAACATTCAGAGCATGGCACAAAGGTTAGGGACAATTTCTCAAGTAACTGGGTGATGTAGCAAATACATGCAAAAAAATATCAGAAATAAAAAAAGTAAACAAGGACAACACTCTCTTAGGTTTGTTTCTGAAAACATTCAAAACACATCACAGAGTAGTGCACAGAGTTTTAGTCTGTGAATATGCTTCAATGAAATTATATCACTGACCACAAAAGCTTCAACTCCGAGAGTTAAAGAAATATTTTTAGTCAGTTACTAATGGAGAAAAAACAAATACAATTTGGTTGCAACCTCATGAGTTGCTTCCTGCTCTATAATTTAAAATAACTACTTACTATCTTAAATTAGTAGTTTAATGTGTGTGAGAGCAATTTAGCACCTGATAATTCTGAGAAATTAATGATTTTGCACTGCATTAAATTTTATGAAATGAGCTTTAATAAAATTACAGTAATTAGAAAATATGATTTCCTACTTATTCATGGATTCTATAAGCTTATTTTATGGTGGTAATCTTCAGTTTTACTCTTGGCCAAATAATTTTAAGCCTTAGCTATTGGCATTTGGTCAGTAAGTGTATTTAAGTGTACCATGAATGTAACTCAGCCCCATACTACAACTGAGACAAGGCAAACACCAAGGTCACATACCTAGAACAGCCCCATCTCCAGGCCACCCATTTACCAAGTTTGTTGCCCTCATGTAAGAGGATCTGCACCAAGAGCACCAAGAGGATTATTCATCTATCTCAATCCTTAAGAGAAAGAAAAAGGTATGGGCTGGGGTGAGGGGTATACTTAAAAGAAAAATGAGACATGGGCCTCTGTGGCTAGGATCCTGACTTCAGATTGCTAATTTATCCCATTTTATTTAGGCCAAAATGACAGGCTGAATACTTTTATTGGAAAGGAAACATTCCAGAGTTAGACATGTTTAATCTGGATAGTCAAGGATAGCAATGTGTATGGAAAGTTTGGTTCATGCAAAAATGAATAAAATTTTAATATATTTAAAGTTACTTTCCACTCTGAAAATAATACCAAAGTAGAGTCAATAAATATTATTTAAATTTCCTTCCAATTCCACAGGACCAAGTAACTAAAAACATACTTTTTCTACTAAAGAATAAGACATTTAAAATCTCAAGCAAATACTTTTTCCCAAGGGCAGAAGGTCATGGCAAATCTTCGGAGAAAGAGGGCATATTGTCTATTTGAAAATTCAGGCTAAGGCCTTGAAATGAAATGATGGTTCATGATGTCATTTCAAGTGACTATGAAGAAATGAAAGACAGATGTAAGCAGTTACTACTTTAAGGATTATTCACAAAAGCCTTGGGAATAATACAGCTGAAGTCTCAGAAAAGCAACTCATTATAATAGAATGTGCATGATCATGTACTAAATTAATCAGTAGGTTACAGTTCACTACCTTACAGAATTTGGGCTTCATTTAGAAGGCCTGATGGTGTACAATAGGCTTTTTACCATTTTCACATTAATGCAAGAGCCTATCAGTGAATTCATGTTCATTTCCTTTATTAACTAACCTACATTAGATTTGATTTGTGAACTCTGGCTATATAAGCAAAGAAGAAAGCAAGCAAGCAATTGATCAGAAAAGAAAAAGAGCTAGTTAGCCCATGAGGCTCCTAGAGGGACCTTGAGCACTCCTCGTGACAGAGACACAGATGATACACTTCTAACTTCTCAAACATGCCAAGTTTGTGCTTGCCTTCTAAGTCTTTGCCTTCACTATTCTGCCCCTCAGCCCACTTGTGGTTCCTTCTGATTCCTTCATATACCAGAGCAAATGTTTTCTCCTACACAGATGACACTTTCTAAAGCAGTTTCTCTACTGCTTCTCCAACTGCTTCCCAGCATATCATCCTGTATACTTTCCTGTCACCATCAGAAGTTTGCTCATTTATTGTATACCATATCATTAATATCCAAGCTCAACTATAAAAGGGGTACCATTTTACTAACCATTACATCCAGGCATCTAAAAATACTTGCTTAAATAAATGAATGAAAAAGCAGTAGAAAGTAAGTTATTTTAAGTCTGAAAAATTATTCTAAAAAAAATAATAACAGGTCAAGTTTACAAAGATACAGATATACTTTTATAATAATGTAAATAAATTGTCTAAATATCTATCCAATCTATCCAAGTATTTTCTTTTTTTTCAGACAGTCTCATTCTGTCACCCAGGCTGGAGTGCAGCGGTGCAATTTTAGCTCACGGCAACCTCCTCCTCCCTGGTTCAAGGAATTTTCCCACCTCGGCCTCCCATGTAGCTGGGATAATAGGTTTGTACCACTGCACCTGGGTAATTTTTGTATTTTTAGTAGTGATGGCGTTTTGCCATGTTGGCCAAGCTGGTCTCGAACTCCTGGCCTCAAGTCATCCATCCTCCTCATTCTCCCATAGTGCTGAAATTACAGGCATGTGCCACCACACCTGGCCATGAAATTGTTAAATTAGTTATGGTATCTACAGAGGTATTAAAAAGGATATCAAAGACATTTTTTCTACTATTGAGTGAAATAAGCAGATTACAGGCCAGTATGTAAAGTATGATTAAATGAATGTAGCGAAAACAACAAAAATAGCATGTTGTTATATAAGTTTAGAAGAAAATAAAGATGAAAACAAACAAGATATTAAAAATATTTTTGCTGTATGAGAAAAAATTTGGACAAGAATTTCAGGTGACTATGAAGGGGTGATTTTTTTCTCCGCCTAGCAGTGGTAGAGAATGCCTTATTTTCATCCTTATGCCCTTTCACATATGATTCCAAAGTGTACATATGCAAATGCCTACTTTACCTCTTAAGACATCATTGCCAACAAAGTTATTTCCCTTCTAAGATTGTAATATTTCAAAACAAACAGCATTAAATCTTAGTTCTGACTATTCACTGTGTAAATCAGACTATTTCAGATCTCAACTATGCCATTCTAAAATTTCCCTTTAAAAAAATCTTTATGGAATCACTACAATTTTTCAACAGATAGTGATAACTACTCCCTACTTTAAATACAGACTGGACAAATCATACACAAAATAGCAGTATGATAATCTTCTAGTACTTCAATTTCATTCTAGTCTCGATATTTGAACAAGGAAAAATATTATAACTGAGGTCACAGCAGATTTCTTTTTTCTTAACACAAGTTACCAGCATATATATAAGAAGCTGTGAACAACAGAAGCTCTTTATGATATTCAGATACAAAGCTGTTGAGAAACAGTCTCAACAATGCTAACCAAAGAGCAAAACAACTGGTTAGTTTTCAAACTAAATGAGCTGCTTTACCCTCCTACCAACCATTAAGCAATAGGCCCTTTATGTCCTTCCCATTCATTACTGACTAATGTGGCAGCTCTCAACATTCTCACTAGTCCCATGATCACTCAATTTTTTCACTATTCTTTTAAATAACTCTATCTGGTTATTCAAATGAGCAAATTGACAGCATACAAGCTTTAAGTTGTTAATTTTTAAGAAGTGTCAGGCCGGGCGTGGTGGCTCAAGCCTGTAATCCCAGCACTTTGGGAGGCTGAGGCGGGTGGATCACGAGGTCAAGAGATCAAGACCATCCTGGTCAACATGGTGAAACCCCGTCTCTACTAAAAATACAAAACATTAGCTGGGCATGGTGGCGCGTGCCTGTAATCCCAGCTACTCAGGAGGTTGAGGCAGGAGAATTGCCTGAACCCAGGAGGCAGAGGTTGCGGTGAGCCGAGATCGCGCCATTGCACTCCAGCCTGGGTAACAAGAGTGAAAAACCCTCTTCACAAAAAAAAAAAAAAAAAAAAAGAAGAAGAAGTGTTGTGTAATTTTATTTTCTAATTTTGGTTTTTTTTTCAATGAAATGTTTTTCAAAACATTTAAACAAATCACTTAATAGCTGACCTGTTATCGACTGCTGCTGTACTTAGACATTCCTAAATCAAAATTTATTTTAAACCAAATTTGAACAAAAACTTTCATATTATCAAAAGAATGTCCAAGGATTTTAATTAAGGAAATCATTTGAACTGTGATACAGTCTAGTGTTTATTTTATGTTATGGCAGGTACACTTGAATTTCAAAAATTTAAAACATATATAAAAAGTGGTTAGGGACTAACATTTGTATCAACAGTTGATAAATGTCTAAGATTGTTTATTATACAGCAGGGTACAATGGTAGTGCTAATGCCAACAGGGCACCATGGAAGTTAGTCTAAAAATTATCGCTAGGCTTTATACAAGCAACAACATATGCTGCTGTTTTTAGAATTTCGGGAAATGATCTGCTTCTAATTCTAAGCAGTCCTTTAACATTTTTAAATGTTATACAGTGTTATAGTATTTAGTTTGGCAAATGTTTCAAAATAAAGTAGAAATGTATTCATAACATCACAGAAATGCACATCCAATTTTGTTTTCAATAAGAACCATAGGTACAGATCAGAACTCTTCCCTATATGAAATAATTTATACACAGATGAATGCTATAATATCACTATCTAAAATAATCACTAAATACAATTTTTTCAGAAATAAACAAGCAAAGATTTTTTTTCATTATCAAATATCAAAAACATGTAGATAATGTATGTTTTTCAAATAAATGATACTCTAAAATTATAGGAATAATCTCAGTGAATTCAGTGAATGTGCAACCTAAATCAACCAAGTATATACTGTAGTACAACCATATTAAGAAACCAATGATCAGAAAATACAACCGTATGAAAGAAATTTATAATCCACAAACTTTTTCAGGCCTTAAGGTAAAATAGTTCCACAGTCTACAGGTAAAACCAAGGCAACAAAAATGCGTGCTTGTCTTGAATAAGTAGATATTTTATGCAGAAGATGTAACACTTTGTTTGTAGACAGCATGGTATGCATTTCTCAGCAAGACATAAGGAAAACAAGACTCCAAAAGATCCATTGTAAGGAACGGGGATTCTTGTACAATCTGAAAAATTTTAAAAATGCATCAAAACTCAAGTTATTTATAATAGGAACAGTTCTTGACAACCAGTAAGGCATAATTTCTATACTGTTCTTATTAGATATAGACACATATTATTTCCTTTTTACTTAATCTAAAACGTAAATATTCCACAGTGAATGTGTATCAAAATGTTTAAAAAGTACTACTTCTCAATTAAATTATTATTATTATTGTTATTTTTGAGATGGAGTTTCACTCTTGTAGCCTAGGCTGGAGTGCAATGGCACGATCTCGGCTCACTGCAACCTGCTTCCCGGGTTCAAGGATTCTGCCTCAGCCTTCCAAGTAGCTGGGATTACAGGCATGAGCCACCACACCCAACTAGTTTTGCATTTTTAGTAGAGATGGGGTTTCTCTGTGTTGGTCAGGCTGGTCTCAAACTCCTGACCTCAGGTGATCTGCCGGCCTTGGCCTCCCAAAGTGCTGGGATTACAGGCATAAGCCACCGTGCCCAGCTCAATGAAATTATTTAATCAACAAGAATATATTGAGCACTTTGGTATTCCTCATTGATATACTAGAAATAAAAGACAATAGAAAAATACTTAGGCCGGGCGTGGTGGCTCATACCTGTAATCCAAGCACTTTGGAGGCCAAGGCGGGTGGATCACCTGAGGTCTGGGGTTCAAGACCAGCCTGACCAACATGGTGAAACCCCGTCTTTAAAAAAAAAAAAAAAAAAAAAAAAAAAGAAAAATACTTAAAATATGGTCCATGCTATCAATTCTAACTGGCAATCCAAGACTAAGCTAGGAAGAAAAACCAAACATAAGACCAACTATAATTAAATGGAAAGCTGCAAATTCTAGAGGAATTCAAAATGGAAGAAAGATTAATATAGGCCAAAGTAATCAGGAATGATTTGGAAAAAGATTTGAGCTGTGGGGTGTGCTGAGTCATCAGGATAAATCCAGTTTCTGCAGATAAGGAAGATGACTCTAAGTGGGGAAAGAGCCATGTGGTAGAAACAAGCAGAGCTGGTTCACAATTACTGCAGAGGGGGAAGTGACTAGGCACAGAGAATTATAGAAAATTACACAGAATGGGCAGATGGGCACAATAGAGTCAGAATGTAGAGAAATCAGAAAACTAGAAGAGAGTTGAAACCATTACAGTAGAAAAATATAAGGCCTAAGTGTTTTCCAACAGGTGGAAAAACTGTTCATAAAAGAATACTCACAGTTAATGCTAACCTTTGACTTTGTTATTTTCTGATATTACCAAAATGATAAAATATGAGTGATGTCAGTCTTCTCTGCAAATTTTAGAAAGGTATGGTTTATGTGAAGTGAATAAAAGGGATCAAAAAAGTATTCAACAACTAAAATGTTCAGAAAAGATTCTCAGGAAAGACTGGAACTTTTTTATTGTTAGTAAAAATCAAAATGAGACTTACCATATCTAGCAGTAAATACACTGACTCTCTATTTCTTGTTGTAGTTTTATCTGTCTCCTGGCCAATTTTCAGTAGACTGGAGGATGCAAGCTTAAAAGTATACATACACATAAAGTGAGCTTGTTAATAACAGGTTCATCAGTTACTTACTTTTGGTATGCTTCAACTTTCAACACATTTCAATCACTTAGTGCTATATATAAAATAATGAGCAATTAAATAACAAATAAGATGAGCTTAGATACTCTATATTCAAGCAATAATTTAAAGAGTAATTAAGGCACAAAAAGACACTAACACAATAAATGTAATCAAATATTCTTATTGGTCTTTAAAACTGATTTTTTTCAGAACAAGTCTGCTTTTTAAAATGATTCAAATTATTTTCTCTTATCCTATCCCAATATCTGTATTGACTAAGTAAAAAGACAGTTTCACACTGGATCTGACTTCACAGAAACACTATAAGATTGAAGAAATTATCTGCAAATGGAAATAAATATTTAAAAATTTTAATACTGTTTTTCTTGAAATAGAAGTTATTTTCCCCTCAAGTCAATGCTATATTTGCATTTTTAATTTAAAAATTATTTTTTTAAAAAGCGGACAGGATTTATAACTAAAAAAGTAAATGTTCTAGAGTTCAGTACGCCATGGTCTTTCCTCTAAATAAAGTATGGAAAAGGTTATAGTAATAAAGAAGAGGAAGAACTACACTGATATAGAAACTAAAAAGCATGCTTCATGAGGCTACATTTAGCACTCCTCTCTTTTGATAGGGAGTAGTATTTTTAATGATTAATTTATCACCCATTAATGGTCTTTCTCCAAAGAAATGGAAATAAGTAAAATATGTCTTTTTAGAGTCTCCCTGTTGACCTCAATTTTCCTTTGCTTTTTTCTCTTTCAAATCTAGGATAATTACTAGGGCAGTCTAAACATCAGCTTAGAAAAAAAGGTCATATTGCAGAGCTCTAGAATTGGGAAAGGGACTTCCAAGTCTAAGGCAAATGATAACTGACTGCTCCTCAATTTTAATGCCCCGCCTTCATCTGTTTCTCCCTCTAAAAAAGAAAATAAATAAATAAAAATAAAAGGAGACTGAAATTTATATACCTGAGAAAATATGAAAACAAAGTGAGAGGACACTAGATAAAATGTAAAAATAAAGAGAAGTTATTCTTTTTTTTTTTTTTTTTGAGATGGAGTTTCGCTCTTGTTACCCAGGCTGGAGTGCAATGGCACAATCTCGGCTCACCACAACCTCCGTCTCCTGGGTTCAGGCAATTCTCCTGCCTCAGCCTCCTGAGTAGCTGGGATTACAGGCACGCGCCACCATGCCCAGCTAATTTTTTGTATTTTTAGTAGAGACGGGGTTTCACCATGTTGACCAGGATGGTCTCGATCTCTTGACCTCGTGATCCACCCGCCTCGGCCTCCCAAAGTGCTGGGATTACAGGCTTCAGCCACCGCGCCCGGCCCCGAGAAGTTATTCTTATATTTTGTAGTTCTGATTTTTAGTTTCCTTTATAAAACGTGATGAGTTCTGTAATCTGATTATACCTACCGCCAGAAATTCTTTAAGACGGTCTTCAATGCTTCCTTTGTGAATTGTAAACAAAGCTGCAGCAATCTGGTTGATGGCTTTGGCCAAGCAATGAATGTTGTTGCAATGTCCTGAGAAAATGCAAATAGGGTTGTGCAGACCCCAAAATAGCAAATAATACATAGAAGGCAAATCTTTAATGACTTCACAATCTACATAAATAGTGGCATAATTAAGAGTAGAGTTGGAACATGACCGAACTTGGTCTCCTTTGACTTTCATGAACACTGAAGTTTTAAAAATAGTGTAGCAAGAGAGCAGCAAATGATCATGCATATGTTAAACAGGCAAACACTTCTGAAAACATGTAAAAGAAATCACACATCAGTTTTATAGTATCTTGGAAACAAAAAAGAAGTGCTTAGCTGCTTTACAACATTTTATCTTTCAATCCTTAAAACAATCCTATGAGTTGGATACTCCCTCACTAACTTCTACACACGTGCAGGCACACATGAACTTACTTCCACACATTTCATATATCAGGAAACCGCAGTTTAGATAAAAGGAAACAGACTACCCCAGGTTCCACTGCCAGTTAGTGGCAGAACTTAAAAATCATATTTCATTATAAAAGAGCAAAGTATGAAGAGAAAAGTATCTACTATACCAAAACACATGATTTTTCCATTGCCAAAACACTTTTAAACTACTATTACCTTCTATAGCAGGGCTGTACTGAGACATCACATTACTGGCCAGTGTTGGCAAAGAAACTGCCACAAACACCATGAGAAGGCAGGCAATTTTATACTCTTCTTCTGGACTAATGTTTTCTAAGAGACAAAAATTAAAAATAAAATCAAGGTATTTCTTCAAGATTTGTTAAGATTTGATAATCTAAACTAGACAAAACACTTTTATTTTAAAAATGACTGACTTTTTTTTAGAAATAGTAAAATACTTTACTAGCATTCTTAGAATAGGTGAAAATTTGGTTATTAAAATATAAAGTAGAAACAATTTATGTTACTAAAGTATTGACTATTATCATTACTTAGGCATATTTCAAGGAGCTCCGATTATATAGCAAAGTAAGATTTCATTTCTCTTAATTGTAAGATTATAGAACAAAAAATATAGTTAGGATAACTGCGATCTTAAAATTTCCTAATTGAAAACCAATGAGAAATTATTACTTTATGAGAAAGTTCTATTTATAATTTAGAAAACTTATTATCTCATAAATTATTCTGAAAAATCACCAAAACAATTCTTACTTTTTGAAATAGATATGACTATAATTTGAAATTTACTATTTAAGAGATATAAATATGGAAAGTGGACTGGGTTTCCAATCTATTTTAGAAGACAGAAGAAACTAGTCATGAATAAAAATTGCCCAAAAGTTTTCAAGACATAACCCTTTCTAAAACATTTATTGTGATATGCACTCAAATTGTGGGTTATTTAGGCTACTATTCACCATTAGACGTAATTAAGAATTGAATATAAGAAAAAAGCCAAAATACGTTTTAAAGATTTGGTTGATTACAAAAAATACAGTTGTAGCAAATCAAGTAACAGTTATAATTATCCAGGTGACTAAATGTAACATACAGTACGAATGAGGAAACTAAAAGCATTGTTAAATGAAAAAAAAAAAAAAAAAAGGAACATTTTAGTAGTAGAAATAGATGAAATGCTGTAGTTTACTTTGTAGAGAAATCCAGAACTATCTAGAGCATTCTAAACA